CCCCAAAACCCCAAAACCCCAAAACCCCGTTTTATTAATATAATATCGAAACTGATTACATAAAGTTTAATTAACTAGAATACTAATATTTATAGATGAGTTGTGTGAACGAATTTAAAATTCACTGCATATTGCTATTATTATTTAAAGATATAGAATCTTATTTACGCTTCAGTAATTACTGTATATTAATCTGCCTATTGGATGATATCCCATCTGAAAATTTTCTCATTATGTTGTTTTATTTAATTCGCTCGATAATGCTCGGGGACTTCTAGTTAATGGCAGGAAAAAGAGATGAAATGCTACGATCCTTAACAGATTGATCATCTACAGCAGATTCCATATTCTACTAATCGATTGATATAGCTGAAGAGGTCTCCATTGCTTAAAACATCCTGTTATTAAGTTTCACCTTGTTCGTGTAACTTTTTACAAATTATGGTTTCATTTTGAAATTATTATTAGTCAGAATGCTAGTTTATTTTACCAAATTGAGATTTTATTGTAGTTGTTTGTTATCTGGAGATAAAGTTCTTGTATAAACACTGCTTGGACGATAATATGAGCTACCCCCATAGGCTGAACTCGCAAACATGTTATCATCTTCAAACACTAAATCTTTTTCCTCTTCAGTGTAATGGCCCTCATCATCTGAAATGTGATTATTGGATATAGTTTATCGCTTTGATATTTATGACTCAACATTTTCAAAATTAATTGATTTTAGTGTTCTTTTAATATCACCATCACTTTAATCAATAAATGACTTACCATCCTCTTAGATTGGACTCCCTTACCTATCCAGATTGGCTCTTAGGATTCTAGTATTACTTCTTATAAACGACTAATCATCAATCCTAAGGCTTGTTGATGTGTTTACTCTTTGATGAGAGTAGTTTTTGATAGTCTGCTTGAGAGGAGAATTCCTTTGGTTATTCTGTTACTACATCTTTTCTAGTTTGAGAAAGATCGGCATTATATCTTCATCTTCTTCATTTTCCACTTCATGGAAGTTGTCATCTTGTTAGGAAATTCTATCAAACATTCCAATTTCATTCTCATCATCCTATACTATGATCTAATTGCTTGTAGTTGGATTCTGGAAAGAATATCCGAATCCCATATTTTTATCCCCTGATAAATCAAATGTTTCAACAAAGCTAGCATATTCCTTTTTCAAACGATCATCATAGGTTTATATAAATCGATCAATGTCCTAGTGATAGTTTGGTTAAGCAATTTCTTTTTATATTCTCATAGAAGTAGTGGGTTCTTTCTAAATAATTGATCCAAAATTTATAGCTCGACTTGAAGAATTAACTGGTGATCTACCATCACTATTTGCTTTTATGAGTTTAATAACTTTCTTTGATAGGACTGTTGGAGTTTGCGAATTGTTTGCAGTAAGGATACCAGAGAGCTCCTTAGAGAAGTTGAATTTTACTTTTATTTTAGAATTGTTGAATATATCGGGACTAGATGTAGATGTTTCTGTATTTCATACTAATTAGTTTTTTATATTAGAATTCGATTGTGACTAACCCTTTTTATCAAGTATCCTCTAAATGAGATTATTGGAGAGTTTATTTTTCTTATGCTATGAGGGTTAAATGGTTTTACTACTTGAACTAGTATTAATTGAAATAGATTGAAGTTTTTGTTCTCTTATTTAAGGTAATGGGGGCTTGTGAGCACTATTTTGTTGAGATATATTGAAGATCATACTATCCTGACCTACCGAAGCAGAACCAATATTAACTCGCCTAGATTTATTCTTCTGCTCATTTAATAGTTTATTTTGAATGTTTTATTTGTCTAGCAGCATTTTGATATACTTCTTCTTAGAAAGATATGGCTGTAGGTTTGAGGCTTACCCAGATGATCCTTCAACACGAGCCATCTTTATGCTAAAGACTTGATCCTCCGATTACTCATCTTTTTGATTCATTTAATTCAGCTCTTGAAATATTGCAAATAATAACTTTATTTATAATTATCTAACATTATGAAGTTTCATGCTGTGCACTTTACATTTGACTTTTGGGGTTTTGGGGTTTTGGGG